TTACAGCTACTATAGTCCAGTCAAATTAAGCCGAAAATGTGCTCAACCCTAAACAAATTGCAACAAAAGGTTTTTCAGCGGCTTCTTACTCAGAATTTATTCCTCTATAACATACAAAAAGTCCCAAAAAATCGAACTTCGGGAAGATGCTTAAAAATGCAATTTTTGTACGGCTTTCGACGATTCTGAGATTACGACATGAAAACGAGGCTGCAGGCAGCCTGCGGTTTTAGTAGCTGAATTTTGTCCATCTGTGATGAAAATTGACAATAATGTTAATNTGGCCCTTCAGGCATCTCAGCTTACAGTACCCTGGCCCTTCAGACATCTCAGCATACAGTACCCCTGGCCCTTCAGGCATCTCAGCATACAGTACCCCTGGCCTTTAAGGCATCACAGCACATCCTCAGAATGAACTGGCAAATATTGCTCAGAAACGTTGGGAAAAACCCTATCACCTGAAAAAAAGGGAAGGCCTTTAAAGCAAAATACAAATGCCCAGAAAACTGTACTTCAGTTAAAGGAATTAAAGTAAACAATGAAATCTATGCTCAGCTAGGTTCTAAAATGAGAACTACTCTGACCTTTATCTGTCTAATATGCAGCAGACATTACGCAAAATCATTGACTGGTTGCTAAGCAAACCCACAGGGGTAGATGATGAAAGTTTTGAACTCCAGTGGTGGTCAGAGTAAACCAATAATGCATATAATGTGATAACACATAAAATACCGTCTCACACTAATAACCATTAATGCTTTATGAAAGTTTGGAATTTTTCAAAGCATGGTTTGTATTCGAACCATAATGCTAAAGTGCTGGCTTCAGAGGGTTAATCCCATCACGTCGACAGATACACGTCATGTTATTCACTAGTCACTTCACTCATAAAAGCAGATCATTTTTAAAGGTAAGTAAATCATTCGTACTTTGAATCTAAATTTTGTAATTAGATAAATAGTAGTGTTATCATCTTGAAACGACCGTTTAAAGATTTCGAGATTATTAAAATCATTAATTCGATAGCGGGAACGGGGTCCCAGTGTACCAGGGTGTTAGATTACGCATACATCGAATGGTTTTAGCTTACACGTTTATAGCTAGCTAGTCTGTATCATAGTGTTGTTACTGTTTTACTAAGGATTTATTTAACGATGTCTCAGCGTCAATTGACGGACAAGGCACTGGTGAAGAGGATGACGTTTTTCACGAGAGTTTTTCTGAAATCCCCACGTCTGAATTGAGTTCAGGGTACGATGTCGCAACATCTCTACGAGAGGAGCTCGAAAGAGCAAAAGAGGAGCAAAAACGCCTACTAAAAGAGGAGGAAATAGAAGGCTTGAGACGAGAGCTGGAAGAGGTGAAATTGACAAATCAACGGCTGAAATTGAAGTCGACCGAACAGACTACGTTAACATCAAGACCCGTGAGGAAGAAGGGGGCGTTCCCGACTTGAATGAGCTACGTTCGAATCCAAAGATTGCAAAGGCTGTGGACAAGCAGTTATCTCAGCTTGGTCTCAGTTCCAGCAGTGAGGAAGAGTCAGAGTTCGAAGGGGACAAAAGAGCGTCAGGACGAGGTAAGGATCGAGGTAAGGCTCGCTCCGGGAAATTAACCAAAATTGCAAACCGCGTGGTTTTCCCGCAAATTTGACCGCACAGCTAATTGAGACTGGCCTATGTCACTAAGAATTTGGCATATGATGACCTCTCGTTGGAAGATTTTGTGGCAGGATATACGGCCATTGCCTCACTATCAACCATTTCCAAGAGAGAGAGGGATGCTAGGCTAGAACATTTAAATGCATTGATGTATTTGGCCAYGCAATTTCCATGGAAGACAGTTCGCAGCTTTCATGCCGAGGTTCTCTGTGAAAGCGAGCGAGGTCGAGCGCAATGGGGTGACTCGTTCACTCTGCTGGAAAATCGCTTCACGCATGACGCCCATATGGAAAAGAATTCTCCGGGAACACAGAAGTTCAACGACCGGTTTACGTGAAACTTTCTTTTGTAAAGAATACCAAAGCGGAAAATGCTCTTATCGTGYAGATCATTATGGTCTGATCAGAAATCAGACAAATGGCTGCAACACATTTGTGCCACGTGTTGGTCAAAAGAAAAAGTAATCGCGAGACACCCGAAGACGTCGGCRGAATGTCCTTTAAAGTCGGGCAATTCCAAACCCGAATGAATAGTTCATAGCGACTCCGAAATTATTAATTTTAGCGACACTGATAGTAGTATTTTGAATTGTACTTTGGTTTGTGACAATGTGATTGACAGCGTTTCGACAGCGCACGAACAGTTTCCTTTGCTTCATGACACCGTGTTCGAATCAATTTCGACAGCTCAGTTGATTGATACTACTGCAAGTTGCACCAAAGCAAGTCATGTCCAAGACCCTGAATCCAGTTCTGATGAGTGTTACTATCGTATTTACAAAAAACAATGTGGAGGACAAGAAATTGCCGGTATATAGTTTTAACTATATAATAAAAATTAAATAATTAAAATTCTAAGATTTACTTTAATTCCACAAAAATAGAAAGAAACCTTTTAAAATAAATTTATGTTGCAGGCGTCTGCTAAGACACAAAAGAAAATCAAGAATGCAAAGGATGTCAAGGCTGCCGTTGTTGATCTTACGCAAACAACTCCTAAAAAACGTTGCGTTAAAGTGTGAGTACTGATATCCTGTTTATGAAGAGTATCTAACAAACGGAAACTTTTAAAGATTATAAAAGACATTTTTGATGTTGTTCGTTTATGCACTACCCAAAAAATTCCATTACGAGGCCACAGGAATGACAAGATTGAATTTGCTGAATTTGCTCACAACGAAGGAAATTTTATTGCAATACTTCGTCTATTAGCTAATAGCAACCCTGCACTAAAGGAACATCTTGAACAGGGACCACGAAATGCACGTTATACAAGTAAAACTATTCAAAATGAAATGATTGCAATAATGGCAGATTTCATTCGCAACTACATTAAAAAATGTCTCGAAATTTGTCCACATTATTTTTTAATAGCCGATGAAACTACATCACATGGCCGAGAGATTTTRTCTGTTTGTATCAGAATTCTTGACTTTGTTACTGACCCATCTAAACCAGAAAAACGTGAGGTCCTTTTGACTTTGCGTGACCTASAAAGAACCACTGGAAAGGCTATTGYTGACACACTTCTTGAAAGTTTAAGCAGCCAGTCCATTGACATCACAAACTGTAGAGGTCAAGCATATGATACAACTTCAAGCATGAGCTCAGACAAAAAAGGCGTTCAAGCCCAGATATCAAGATTTGCTCCCGACGCTGAATACCAAGGCTGCTGTCTTCATTCGTTGAACCTCTCTATATGCCATGCATGTGAGATTAAAACAGTTCAAAATATGATGGACACGTGCCGCGAGATATATAGCTTTTTCGATAACTCCCCTAAAAGGCAGTCCATCCTCAATGCTGTTCTTGAAGCTTTAATACAGGGCGAAACCAAAAAGAGAAAGGTGAAAAATTTGTGCAAAACCAGGTGGGTTGAGCGCCACAAAACWTTCGAGACAATTCATGAACTATATGAGTATCTAGTTATCGCACTGGATGAAAAATGTGAACCATCTGATGACGAGCGTTTTAAATGCCCTGGGGAAGACTCATGGTCTTGGGATGCCAACACAAAAACAATGGAAAATGGGCTAAGAAAGACCATGAGAAACTWTGGACACATAGTATCATTCATATGTGCTATGGAAATGCTCGAGCCAATGCGGCCTCTTGTAAGTGCTCTCCAGGGTCGACTAGTTGAGGTTTACTTTGGCTTTCAGAAGGTTGAAGAGCTCATGCACAACTACGACGACATCCGCCAACACATAGATCCTTGGTTTGAGCCTATATACAACAAAGCACTTGGGTGGGTGGGTTCAGAAGAAGAAAGACCACGTACAAACGCCAGGCAGATTCACAGGGATAATATTCCAGCCAATACAATTAAGGAATACTGGAAACGTATCTTAGCTATACCGTTTTTGGACATGAACTTAACTCCCGTTTTAGTCCTGAAAAGAGGGCTCACTATGAGCTATGCGCACTTATTCCCACCGTTATGCGACAGAAAGATGAAAATGGTTTAACTGACATGATAAAGGTGCTGAAAGAAAAATGGCGGCACATCCTTCCAATTCCTGGATCATTTGATAGTGAGCTTTTTCGTTGGTATCATCACTGGAAGAGAAACAAGGCAGAAGAAACATCCATCACATCGCTTATAAGCAAGTACGCAGACGAGATGTTTTWCCCTAATGTGCGCGAACTTCTCAAGAYACTGGCAACTCTTCCTATTGGGAGCGCAGAAGCTGAGCGATCGTTCTCCTGCCTCCGCAGGCTTCATACATGGCTACGATCGATAACGACCACARAAAGACTTTCCGATCTAGCTGTCATTGCCAWGCATGGAAATGTTATCCCTCTCAAAAGAGAAGAAATTTGCCGTGCTTTTATGGAACGTCACCCGCGAAAGATGCAAGCATCCTCACTTTTCCAGTAAAAATTCTCAAACGTAAGTTATATGAACCTTTAAAGTGGGGCTTTTGAAAATGGGGCAACTTAGAAATATAAGAATAATTACAATTTAGATTGAAAACAAGGCTTTCCAGCTAAAAATTTTTTGATTAGTTGTATTACAAAGAACTAAAGCTTAATGAGATGAGGTTTCCTTAGCTTGAATGCTTTGCCCCGGTTTCAATAGCCGCACTGTAAAAAAACTGAAGTATTTCATTATAGTATAAGTTTAAAGAGTGGCCAACGTGAAATTGATGTATCTTGACACGTTTTATTTCCTTTTCATTTCATTTAAGTAACACTCACGAAAATAGCAAAGTTGTGCATGATGGTGTTTAATATTATTTGGAAAATAAATCCCCCCCTCTAGAAAATTCCTGGATCCGCCCCTGTTAGGGAACTGTTTTCTAAGAAGCGAAAGGCTGCAACCCATTTGTTAGTCTTCATGATTGCAGACGAACTGAGAAATTCCAAACCTTATGCCATACCAGTAAGGTTTCTACCATATCACTCTATTACAGATGGAAGGATTCGGGATCTAGAAGATGAACTAGAAAGAGTTATGGAGAGCATGGGGATGACAGTTGTAGGTAAGTTTAAAAGTTTCCATTTTTGTTACTAGTTTATTCACTTTTTCCAGCCTCATTTACTATAGATTTATGGTTTTGGTTTTGGTCGGATCATTTGGTCATGCATTTAATATGTGATGTAAAGGAAAAACATGATGCACTCATTATATAATTTAACTTTGCATATGGACTGATATGGTTGCTTTTCAAAATAATTGTAGGATTCAGTACTGATGGGGAATTTAATTCACTACGCACTTGTGCCAAGAAAAGACCAATTTCAGTTCTGGAAGTTACTAAAAATTCAAGAGATAAAGCAAGGAAAACCAGATCAACTATAGTTGTCAATTATTTCCAGCTTGATGAGTTTGGTAAGTATTGATAACTTAGTTAATCCAAAGGCTTCAGTCAAGCTTTGCAGCATCTCCTTTTTACCTGAGAAGTCTGTTGAGTACAGTGGCAGATCCATGGTTTTTCAAAATGTGATCCAGATCAATAAATAAATTGCTATGACATTGCATTGAAATATGGTGTGTTAAGTCATCATCTCCCTCCCTATTGGCCTTGCAAATAGAGATAAGGAAATCATTATTGTAATAATTGTGATAATTTGTTTTTGTAACAATATTATTATATCTTTTCAAGGGCATCCACTCATTGCACATGAAGCTATCCCTTTAGCAGACGTCATTTTGTTAAATAAGCTACAATCCCGGTCAAAACTTGTTGAGACATTCCATTTTTTGAAAATTAATGAAATTTGGGGAGTTTGCTTTTAAATGCCTACAACTCCCTACTCCCCGCTCCCCTCATTACAAAGTTGAATGAATGTAGTTTATGAAAGACCACAAATGATAATTCACGACTGACAACATTGATTCAAGGGGGAAGGGGGATTTAAATCAGGTTTTTTTCAGTAGTAAACATATAAAAACACTATTTTCATCACTTTGTCTCAACCCTTTTGACCGGGATTGTAGTAGCCGGAGGAACTCCTCTAAATTATGCCCTCATCAAACTTAGAAAGAAGCTGTTTCCGAACAACTGTGTGCCAGCTCATTGGGTAGAAGGTACATATCAAAATAATTATCATTCAACAAACTATTGACAGTTCTCAAAATTCCAGTACAAGCGGGAATAGCCTCGTTTCTAGAATAGAAAACATCGGATTGGCCAATCAAGCTTTACATGAATACGAGGCCATTCAGGCTTGCACAGGAATTTTGAGAAC